GAGAAAAGGGAAGCATCATCACAGGGTATCAGCCACGTGTAATTAATGTCTGAACTGTTTTGGGTGATGAAAAGATGGCTGAGGAGAACTCTGAATCTCTTAAAAAAAATACCATGTCTTAAACATTAAAGAAAATAAAAGATTATTCAAGTGATGGAGACATATGTTCTTAGATCTTCTACGAACCCATGATTTCTCCGTGTAGGCCAAGTCCTGCGTACCTGCCTGTCTGGCTAGATGAATTCATAGTAATCCAGTATGTGAATTTGGCATTGTGTGCTTAAAAGAAAAGTGAAAGAGCTGTTTCCCGTGATTGTTTTTCATATGTTATTAACTTCATTTCCAAAACAGTGGTTTCCAAACTCCAGATCAAATTTGCTGTGACTCAGACTTTGCATAGCTCTCCTTACAGCAGCCGGAACGCGCAGCGGCGTTAGGGGAGTTCCAGCCTCTACCGAGGACGAGCAGTCGTTCCCGGGTTGTCATTTTAAAGTTGAGATTTGGTTTGGGTGTTTGCCCAAAAGTCGGAAGCAGCCTCATTTCCCAGTGAAAGAACAAAATCATTACAAGCTTCAAGCCTTAAAGCGGAGAGGAAAAGTAAGTAAGAGTATTGAAACCTCACGACTGATGGTACCATTGATGGTGGTGTACTGTCACTTCAGTTTGTCTGCCTTTGTAGGCTGAGTCCCCTCGAGTGGCTTGTACGGTCGAAGCATCCAGTCAAGACCTCGGCCGTTAAATGTCATCAAACCCCAGCAGGATTCGTTATGTGGAATAATTCACTATGTGGAGCGGCCGTGTTGTCCTGTCGCAGGCTGCTCTGCGGCTTGGACTTCAAGTCATCTTTATCAAATTTTAATGAGGATCAATTTTCCTATTACTTTGCTTCGCTGTGCATGTGTGTGCAGTCAGATTAGCAAAGATCCTCTCTGCGTTACGGCCTCACGTAGATTGCAAAGTCTGAATTCATGCATATTTGAAGGTTTCTTAATCAATGGGGCTCACAGATGTCTCCATCTGAAGAGAGTGCCCGAGCAGCGACTGCTTGCTGTGGTTTTGTTCTTTGGAGCAGGGTGCCTGGCGTGGCTTCAGTAATAGCTGGGCCGTGCTCTTTTCATTGCAGTGACCGTCAGGATCGTGTTACTTTTGGCTCTTTCTCTGCTTTTTTTTTGATTTAGACTGTGATATAAGTAAGATGTTTGCTCAAAACTGAGTTTTACCAACTTGTTTCCTTTTCCCAAACCTCCCATGCAGATCTATGACCCAGGCATTGTTGTTTTGCACACTTTAGTACGCAAGTGGCTTTTATTCTGCTCTCCTTGTTAGTGGTTTGGTTTTTTTATATAGCATCCCTCTGAAAAGCGATTAATTAAAATGGCTTATTGGAAAAATCAGTTTGGATTCTTTCCCCTGCTCTTAAACAAAATTTAGAAGGAAGCCTTTGGATTGGAGCTCTGAATAATATTTCCTCTTTGGCAATCCTGCTAATCATCGCTGACAGATATTTCTTTCAAAAAGATTGTTTTGCATAGACAAAACTTGGCAGAGAGGTCGCCTCAGAAGAGAAGTGGAACAATAGGAAGTCGGTTGTTTATTTTTAAAAACAGCTTTTTTTGTTTTTTTCCTGTCTGCGTTGCGGCTGGAGGTCTAAGCAGTGTGCATCTCCTGATGGAGAGAGGTCTCTGCCCGTCGGACCGCTGGGGCCAGGGGATGGGATTTCGTGGTTGCTGATGCCCACCTAAGCTCTTGCGAGTGGCTGGTGGCGGGGCTGGCCCAGACCCTTTTTCCCATCGCTTCCCCGGCAGATGAGAAGGGGCCAGGCGGTAGGAGCTTGACGGGGGGAAGGATCAGGGAGATGCGAAGCCTTTCCCGAGATGTGTTGTACCGTGGTGGAGGTCTGGGTCCCCTCCGCAAGCCCGCGCTATTCTCCGCCCGTAGAGACTGCTCATCCCTAAATAAGCGTGAGTGCGCCGGGAAAGATAAGCATCAAGGCAAGGTCAGTACTTGCCTGGCCCAAGCCCTCGCACCTGGGGAAAGGAGTCGTGAAGCGACGTGGCGGTACCTGCTTACTCCTCCTTTGCTCGTTGCCGGACACGGTGCTCTGACCACAGCTGCAGAGCACCGCGCGCCGGGCACCGCCGCCCCGGCACGGAGGCCGGAGCCGCGTCCATCGGTTGCTGCTCTGCACGCGCCCGAGTTGCTCTTGTTGCGCAGCCGGATACCCGCAACCACTGGTCTGGGGCAGGACAAGGGACCTGGCGAGTGAATGCAGAATCAGGAGATGGGTTGAGGTTGTGGTGCGTTGTAGTTCAGTAAAAATGAAGGAAGTTGTGTACTTGGGAGCGGAAGGGAACATCTGGTGGAAAGCAGTTCAGTTCCATGTTTGTTTGCAGGACCAGGTTTGTATTGGGATATTGAGTGTTTGCCAGCTCCCTCGCATCGCCTAGGTTTGCAGGACGGTTCCTCAGCCGATGCACGTGAGCATCGTACCCCCGAGCGGGGCCGGGGGAGGCTGCGGACCCCTTACCGGGCTCTGGTTTATGTCTAGTTGTAATTCCAGAGTGAATTGGACCGGGTTTGCTCAAACACCATGAAGTCATGACTGCTTGGATCGGCCCTTGGTTGAGGAAGGGAGAGCGCACTTCAGGGCTTCTTTTTCCTTGGATGGGAGGATGATAAACCTTCAACCTGCCATGGCCCTTGCCTCCTCTGCTGATGAAAAGTCTTTCTGCCCCTGGTAACAATTTTGTTGGCACAGGGAACGAACCATCCCTGCGGTGATAACTGAGGTACCTGTTTTGGCAGGACTGGTAGCTTGCTGGGCCAGGTGAAGCACCCGGGAGTTGCCTTGGAGGTGTGCGAAGCCAGCTCAGGTGCAAGGCAACCTGAGAAGTTGGCCAAGGCAACTGAGCGAGAGGGGCAGGGAATCCGGAGGGCTTTCTTTGCTGGCATCTTGGATGCCCGGAGAGCGGTGAAACGTCTGCGGCCAGTCCTAGGCACGGGGGGAGGCAGAGCCACCTCTCCGTGGTTGGTGGCCGGGAGGCTTTGCGGGTGGGAGCAGATTCTCAGGCTCTAGACCCGAGCGCGCTCTGTGCTGTTACCACCTCAGAAGGAATCGCAGGTTTAAAGCGAAGCGCTGGCTAAAGGAACAAGGCAACAGAGGGCTGGCCCGGGAGAGGAAGAATGAGAAGAAATGTGGTCATCCCTTTACTTAACCATTTACAAGAGCAAGACCGTTTTAATTCCTCTTTCATCCTGTCCTGGAATACAAGAAAGCGCTTGGTACAACGTAAAATGCATTTAAATTTGATGATCTATGGGTTTTTACCATATACTATTGGTAGGGGTCACGATCTTTAATTACCACCTGATGAGAACAGCGTTTTCGAAATTTGAGGATAGCTCAGGTGAATAATGAAAATAAAACACGTAAGTAAGAGTCAGCCTGGGTAATCTGACTTGTAACAAGGCAGCACGGAGAAGCCTTACAGCTGCTGTGGAAGTACCTGATAACCGAAGACCAAATTGCCTCCGTGCAGATGTTGGGTTTGCTCTATAAGCTGAGATCCTGCGGTAGTTTGGAACTTTCTTTGGAAGAAAATGGGTGTGATTTTTACTAGCAGGGGGGTATTGGGTGTAAGAGGGCATCTATTCAATCTGTTCTATTCTATGCTATTTTCTGTAGCCTTTGCTCTTTATATTGGCAGGAATAATTGCTCCTCAAGTCTCAATTTTTTGAAGTTAATTATTATGTTAGTAAGGGAATTAGTTGGTTTTCAGATTTACTCTTGCCCTGACTGTCATTTAGCCATAGCCCCATTTAAGTAAAGGAAGTTTCACGTTGCTGTAAGAAGTATAAATATGCATTACGGTGGAGATATTTTTTTTAAAAAGGATGGCCAAATTGGAAGATTAACTAAGTAATATTAGATCTCTTGTGAACAGGTATTTTAAATACATATTTACAGAACTTGTGGTTAAATAATGGCCCCAGCCCTTAAAACTTAGTCCACACATCTAAACCCTTCGCCTCTACCGAACCTCATCAGTGTCCTGGGCTGTATTACAGCCAGATCCCTCCTCAGCTGCAGGAGAGGAGCTTTCGTTGCACGGTCTTGTATTCGTTTGTTCTATATGGTGAAAGCAGTGTTGTATCCGTGATAATGTAAGGATATTTATTAAGATGATGTTTGTATGATGCCAGCTTCCAGAGTTGGAAAAGCTGTGTAAACGTTTGGGCATGCAAACTTAAAGAAGGGCTTTTTATTTGAAAGCTCACTTGTTTTTCCATTTTATGTGTCATTCTAATAAAATATACTGCCTCTCTCCCAAGTCTCGTTTCTCTTGCATTTATTTTTTCCTTAACTTGTATAACATTATACGCATCAACATACTTGTTTTCCATGATGAAGTATGTGTATAAATCCATTGAATTGTGTGATTTAAGAAACAATAGGTTTGGAATGATGCATTTTACTGACATGGGACACATTCCACTTATGAATGTGTCTAAAAGCAGTTCTTTGGGCATAGTGCCTTATTTTCCTTCTGTTCCTTATCTGTCCTTCAAAATAATCAGTAAGTTTTTAAACTGAGGGGAAGGGGAAGGTCTGAAACATTTGTTTTGGCATTTGCACAACGATATGATTGTGGTTGGTTGGTTTGCTTTCCTCAGTAACCAAAAAAACAAACCAAAAGTAATTTCTCCTTCATCATCTAATTAAATGCAAACAGTACATGTACTTTTTGTAGATGCTCGTAAGTTCATGCCATAAATTTCCATCCTTGTCCTAAACCTGCCAGCCTATGGGAAATGGGATATTTAATCAGCTTCAGCACTGAACATGATGTGCCGCATTCGGGTGAAGTTCAGATAAGAAATCTTTTAACAGGCTGGCCTGTAGAACATTACAGTCTGTTGGTTAATTAAGGTATTAAGTTTTAATATACTAAATATTAGAGAAAGAGAAAATGTTGTAATGTTGCGTGTATTGAAATAGTCCAATATTAAAAACACTAACATTTCTTCACATATTTTACAAATCCCTGCCAGATTTCCCCATGGATTCTAATAATGGCAACTGTAGAGGCGCCGGCATCGGTGAGTACGCTTTCATAAAACTGTATAATAAGCTATAGTCTTTCAAATGCTTTTAATACTTAAGTAAGAGGGGTACTAAGTGATGTTTAAATACTCTGTCTTGTCTTGGAATCCTGTAGATTGTGCTTTTGCATCCCGTGGGCAGGTGGGATTTGGGGCTGGGCAGCCCGTGGACCTCCCAGCTGGCAACTCAGTTAACTCTTTAGCGCGTCTTTTAGTGCTCATCTCTTCTGCTTTTGTCAGGGCAAAATGTCCATCAAATCAAAAGGACTGTGCTGATTTCATTAAGTTTTGTCTTGAACATTGTGAGAATGATCATTAAGTGGATTTTCACTGGGGAAAAGAGTGAAGATGATGGTTCATTCTGACTTCAAAGTTTGCAAATTAAATTCTGACCTCTTTGTAGATAATGGCAAAACTCCTGTTAACCTGAGGTGATGGAGGCTGAGACCTTCTGCGACTGGTTTTATTCCAGCAGGTCCCCTGCTGCTTTTATTTTTGTTTTGGTTTGGTTTTCCTGGAACTGAGTAAAGCCCCTTGAGTGCCACCACTGGTCATAGGCAATGCAAAGAAGCAGAGCCCAGATCGGTAGCTAATAGATTACAGAAATGTGAATTTGTTGCTCAAGCAAGCCAATGACTATGGGTTTCCTTGAATTTTATTACCATTCCTTCAGAAGTTTTCCTCTTAGGCCTTTGTCAAAAAGGTGACACATGGAAACCTAGTGTTCGCCGTCGCGTCCTTCCTTCCCCAGGGGTGCTGACCAGCTACAGCACGCGCTGATGCTCAGTTTGTTGTATAAACGTCTAAGTAAGGTTGTGGAGCATAAAATTAGATGCCAAGCGTTGGTAACTTCGGCATTAATCTTTGTGACCGAATTGTAAAAAGGTATTGGTAATGCCCAGCTTAGAATGCAGTTTTAAAATGTGATCGGTGGGTCCCAATGTGAAAGTAGCTATGGAGGGGCAAAATGTTATTTAAGTCGCAGTGCACATCCTTCAGAAAGCCAGCTGCAATTAGAAAAACCTGAGAAAAGTAAGCCCCTTAACAAGCTTCACTTTAAATTGCCTTGAGCGCGTCTGAAAGACTTTCTAAAGATTTTTAGTGCTAATATTAGTATCTTTTTAGTTTTAAGCCATTTTCAATTGCGAGGCATTGAGAAAGTACGGATTTCACGCTCTACAGTGACTGTATAAAGAACATACAAGCTACACTTTGAGTGTGAAAGTAAAGCTGGATACCTTCAACGTCACCTTATAGGAAAAGTATTAAACATATCTTTAGCAGTGCTGTCCTCAGGGATGCAGGCTGCACGCAATACCAGTAAGCAACCCTGCAGTGGAAGAGAAAAGAGTAAGATTCAGTTACACCGTTGCTGTCACGATGCTTTTCAACTAGCAAAAGCAAAATGAGACCTAAAGACGTCCCATCCAAAAAATAGGGTGAAGATGCGCAGAAAAAGAGCTGATGAAAAGGAGGGGTAATATTTTTATCACTGCTTTTTGCTGTAGAACCACAATTTCTGGTTCAATGCACTACATCTGTTTCAGCTGTCAAACACAGTTTAGCCACCTAAAAGGCTGTGATTCATAATTGCTCTATTTGTATGTTCAGTAAAGTAAATCTGTAATTTTGCATTGTAAATAGTATTTTGTTTTTTGCAAGTAACAACCTGATGTGTTTTAAAAAACCCTGGACTCAGCTGTGTGGTTCCTGGAGCGTATTGCACGTGCTGGGGTGCGCGGTTGCAGCGAGGGTCCTCGTGTAGTGCCCCTCCTCGAGGCACCGTCGGTCCCTGGCAGTGCCCGCTGGCGAAACCTTCCCTCGCAGTCTGCCAGGGGGCTTTGGGGGGAGGTGTTTTGCCTCTCTTGGCAGTAAACCGCATTGTTGTCTGCTTCCTCGGATGCTTTTCAAGTCGCTTAGAAGTTTTTCCAGAGTTTTTTTTGTCGTTAATTTATCAGGGAAGCATTTGCCAGGTTTGAGTGCTCGTACTGATCCCTGTGGCAGCCAGGTTTCAGATGGTGCATGCATGCGTATTTAAGATGGCACGTTTCTTGGTAGCCGTCCCTGCAGAAAACCCTTCTCCCGTGTAGTCCATTTGCTTTGGCATTTATAGGGAGAAGTTTTCAAAGGTCTAGATGTTGAGCTTTTGTTAGTCCTACGATGACTTGTATTACAAAGAATGTTTAATGGCTGAGGTCTCAGTCAAGCCTCTGCTGCCTGTCTCGGTGCTTGGGGTATAACGTTGTTGTGGTCCCAGAGCTCTTCTGGTAGTTCTGGCAGCCTCAGAGCAGACTGTCAAGTAAGATGGGACTTCCCTCAGCATCAAGAGACGCGTACATTTTTATAGCCATCTTTTGTGGGTGTTCCCACTCCCCGGGGAAAGCTCAACTTTGCAAGAAAGACGCGCCAGTCCATGTGTGCTTCCTTTGAACGCCACTGCGGCAGGCGCTGGGGGAGAGGGATGGTCCTACCTCTGCCACCCGCTTTATAGCTGGCCTGGGCAAGTGAGACTCTGCTACTTTCTGTATCTCTAAAGAGGGGTTAGAAATAATGCAGCGTTTTGTAAAGTTCTTTGAAATGTAAGTTTGAAAGGCAGTAGGGTGGCTGGGAGATAGCCGCCATTAAGAACATCGGCAGGTCTATAGTTAGTTTCTAGAACAAGACTAATAAAATACATTCCTCAAATTAATAAAATAAAATAATCCAATACGGTCTTAAAATTGAGGGAAATGTGAGGCTATGTATTCTTGTCTTGTAATTTAGACTATTTTATTCTACTTGTGCCACAGAGCAAAGTATCGTAGAGCGGGAGAACGTTAAAGCACGATGTGTGGATGCGAACGCTGAGATGCCTGCGTGAGGGTGGGTCGTAGGAGCACATCTTTTATGGCCTGTTTCGAGGCAGCTTATAAAATGGGCCATAATGTGGCCTAAAGTATGCATGAGCTCCCACAGGCAGGAGGGAAGCCAAAAATCACTTCCCTTCTCTGCCTTTATTGTTTTTACACAGACTTATACAAAAGCTGAAGTCTGTAGGACTCTGTATATAGATTCCTGAGGATGTGTTTGAATTTCAAGGAAACAATATCCTCTTCTTTTGAAATGTTCTCCTCTTTCCTGGTTTTTTTTTTTGTATTTTCAACTACAAAAATTCTTTCAACGCTAAATAAATAAAGATTTGAGAAGTCCCTAACCATATGATGCCATCTCTTTTTTTTTAAACACAGAAATCTCATATAGCAAATAGAAGTTCTTTTTCAAACTTTTCACGTTGGATTTAACTAAGTCACTAGCTATATGCATTGCTATTTTAGAATGATGGTGTATAGAAATAGGCTGCATTAAGTCTACTTCCACTTAAATGCCGAGTCAAATGTCAAAGTAGATGACCACATACAGGTAATACCGGGACCTGCTGTTTGCAATGGGTGCAGCGGTGGGCTTGGAGGGGGAGATACCAGTCAGCTGGGCTTGGCCACGCGACTCCACCAAACTCCACTTACGCACTAGCTTGAAATAAGTAAATATTTGCATTAGAACAACCAGCCGTGAACTGTCAGTGGTGTTAATGGACACATGGGTCTGGAGCTTCAGCCCCAGCACTCCCTGGGCACTGATGAAAGCGGTTTTGCCTCTGTGGTGGTGCCCAGCTGTCTGGAAGAAGCTGCACCGCTGGAAACGCTGCTCTGGCAGCGCTCACTTGTATTACTGTCTTTTGAAGGCCATCCTTACTGCCATAAGGGCTATTGATTTCCCTATGTTAATTAAACGTGACCTTCTGGGTCATAATTTTATACAGCAAACCCAGACAGCAGGGTGGCTCTGTGGCCCGTGTTTGTCACTACCTGTGTCTGAATTCCGCTTGTGTGGCACGGGCTTAAATTGCACTCAGGTCTGATGATCCACGGCGGAGATCTGTCAGAAGGGTTGGTGGTGGCCTTCCCAGGCAGCTCCACTAACTGTATGTTTGAGATGCCTTTTTTGGTTTGTTTTGTCACAGAATCGGTAAGATCAAATGCCAATGTGCCAGTGGTTAATATTCTTCACGTAGTGCTCCAAAATCTCCGTCTAGGTCAGTCCTGGGTAGAGCGTGAAGCCGTTGGGTTGACAAACCAACCAAGTCTGGTAAAGACTAATCTACAGTTCAAAGGCTATTTGCTCAAGACTGGCTTTATTAATTGAGGGAGAGTCCAGAGCAGGATCAAAAGTAACACTAAACACTTGCAGTAGTCAAGTGAGGCCCTTCCGCCTCTTAATCTTAAACTTAACCTTAGACTTAATCTCTCTTAAACCTCCTGCCAGACACTGCTGAAGAAACGTGGTTGACGTCCCGTTTTGTCGGGACCGTCCCAGAGGCGGTCTACATGCCGGGAGCTACGTGCCGCTTGGTCCCACCACCCTCCGAGGTGCTCCGGCTGGTGACTGCCGCTCTTGGACACCTGTAGTGGAAAGGGGCTGCGCCACTGTAAGAAGTCTTAGGGTGCCGTTCCAGAGACGGACTGCACGTTGAGAGTTAGCCACAAAAATGGTGAATGCCTGCTAGCCACAATATCCCAGTGTGTTAAACTGAGCGGAGGTGTGTAGTCTCCAGTCGAATGTTAAATCGTGCCCTGTCGTCGTGTTTTCTTTCTGTGTCTGTATTACAGTCCGTGTGACTAAAGGTGCAGAAAGGAGGGCATTCGGTACGTGTAGTACAGAAGAGAGAACGGCGTTGTACGGATGTGGAATCGCAGCACCCGTGAGCACAGAAGAAACCAAGACTGAACCTGAATTGGCTTAAAATGGAAGATCTTGCCACTTCAGACTCCAAGTCCTTGTGTCTTTGTTGTTGTGGGGTTAGTTGGTTGTAGTAGTTTTGTTTTGGTTTGGTTCTTAAATTTCAGCATGTCGAGTTTTCTCCTAGAAACCTTTGAGATCTCATGGACAGTTCCACAACATCTTCCAGCAGAGCAGACCAGGAGTACCCTGTGGGTTTCAACATTTCACTTGCCTGTAATAAGTCAATTCAGTGCCATTTTTGTTAGGTGTGAGCTTGGGGTTTCGGGGAGATCGTCACTGAACATACGCCCTTTTCTTTCTAAACAAAAGTTTCTGTCTTCTAGAGCGCTGCAAATGCAAGCCTATAAAAGCTACCCAGAAGACCTATCTACGCAACAATTACAACTACGGTAAGGACAGCGGCCTGGCCAGCTCCTAGCATTTTTACGGCTAAAGTAAGGGGAAAAATTTTCATTAAAGAAGCCGCTGGGCCCAATTACTGATGGTTAATCCAATAGCACTTGCTACAGAAGGAAGATGTGGCCTGAAACGTTCCCAGATTAGAAGGATGGAGGGGATTAGCTTAATACGTTAGTACAAGAGTGTCTTTGTTGACGTTGAGTGTTATTTCAGCGTCAGCGCAGGCACCTGGGGTCCGTGCCCTTCTTCAGTGTGAAAAGCGATGTGGCAAAAATGACGCTGCGGGCTGCTATGCCTGAGCCGCCTCTTCGATTTCCAGCTCCGATACGCTCTGCTTTCGCAGGAAAGGATGGTTTCACTAGCTTTCAGGCCTACAAACTCGCCGTGGGATCTAACAGGCATACTAGGTTCTTTTTGCCTGTGGAAGCCAGCGGCGAGCGTCTTGCCGGCTGCGTTGTGCTGTCAGTAATACCCGCAAAAGTGCACGGCGCCCATAGGATGTCCTCTCTCGTCCAGATTGTCCTGCTCTTCAGGCACGTCACCGCTCCAGGCTGCTACTTTTCTTCATGCCGTTTGTTTTAAGCAAATCAAGCGGATGAAGCCAGGGAATACGGCAGTTGGGCCCATCCTTTTTCCCATTACTCATGTGAATGGCCCTAGGCTCACTGAACTTACAGACTTCATTTACATGGTAGTAGCTACATCGTAAGATTATGCATTTATACAACTATTGTCAGATAAGCTGCTTTTAAAAATAAATCCTATTAAAAGCTAAAAATTATAATTGTATTCAGCCAAACATCATTGGTTTTTTTAGGTGACTAGTCGGTTTTATGTTGTTTTGATGGATTTGTTTGGGGAATCTTTACAGAGTGACTATTCTCGGGTGGGCACCGCACCTGCACGTGGTAGAGAGTCGCTGAGCGCGCGACTGCCTATCTTTTCAAGCTTTTGAAATTAAAGAGGTTTCAAAATGCATTTGAAAGAACTCCAAACTGAAGCAAGATTTTGTTCTGAGATCTCAAGAGGTTTTAAGGAAGTGGATCGCTTGGGGTAAATTGTGTATGTTAAATGCCTAACAGCTATTAATTGTTGGCAGCGGTGTTTAATGTGGCTGCAGTGCATGCTGGCTGATTGTCTTTATGGGCGATGCATGTGAAGAGACGTGTAAGTCCGTGGCTTGCTTTCTTCCGTATTACCTTTTTCACACAGGTTAGAAGAAACTGGGAGTCCAGGGAACCTGCTGTCTGTAGTGGAAAGGGACTCTTGTTTGCAAGCTGTGGAGGATGTGGCATTCTCTAGAGCATGACCTCTGGATTGGCTTTGCGTTTGCATGTGGTGTCAGTTCACTGGTCACCGTGGGAGAAGGGCAGAGCGCTGCCTGTGAAAGGCAGCTTTCCCTCCTGTGCAACTTGAGGCAAAAGGAAAGGGTGAGGGAGGAAACAATTAGGCGGGTCATCAGGTCAAGATCAGGAGCGTCTGGAGTTCATAAAGAGCAGAGCAGATTGGTGCTGGGTCACTGGAGAGAGAATAAAAAAAGTAGGGGCCTGTCGTGCAGCAGAGGCGGTGATACGAGGCATTTGGATGCACATTCACATTTTGTGAAGGGTCGAGAGTGACAAATTAAGTTCGGTCATCTGCACTGCAAGTAGTCCAAGAGGGAGCAGTTGAGGGAGGAGGAGAGCATACAAGGAACGAATCAAATATATAAAGCGGAAAGGGCAAAGAAGAAGGGATGCTAAAAATTAAGCCTAACTTAAACAGGATGCACATGCAACGGGTACGTAACTCCGGCTTGTGACCGTGCTGTTAGGAGGTACACGAGCTACCTGCACCCCCTTGGTGGAGGATGAAGTACGGAAGCGAAGAGGCGGGGGCAGGGACATTGCTGGAGTTCAGCTGAGCTTTTGATAATGGACCGTGCAAAAGACTAATCCCAGAGGTCACCGAGAATGGCTTGGGGGTGACCTGCGTTACCTGCTGCTGCTAACTGTACTCTTTGTGACTTTTTCCCAGTCATTCGGGCTAAAGTGAAGGAGGTGAAGACTAAGTGTCACGACGTCACCGCGGTAGTGGAAGTAAAGGAGATCCTAAAATCCTCCCTGGTGAACATCCCAAAGGACACTGTAAACCTTCACGCGAACTCCGGCTGCCTGTGCCCACCGCTCAGCGCCAACGAAGAGTACATCATTATGGGCTACGAAGACGAGGAGCGCTCCAGGTAACGCTTTCTGCATTACCCTTGGAGCGTATTTGCTGTTGTTTGTTCCCCTGCCCGTAAAGCTGGACTTCAGAGCCACCAGTCTGGCATGTGTTGGGTTGTATGGCTTGTGCACGTCTGCTGATGGCGTAACCGGTTGTCTCCGTTGCGTAGGTTACTCTTGGTGGAAGGCTCCATAGCCGAGAAATGGAAGGATCGTCTCGGTAAAAAAGTAAAGGTAAGAAAATAGCTCACCGAGTGTTGCAGATACCATGAAACATCTATCTAATCTTGCCAAAATAAGGGAAGAAAATAAACGTGCTGACCCCAGTTAATTAATATCAAGTATCAAAAATTAATTTGGTGTGTTATTTGCTATATTACTTAGAAATGTACGCTGAATAAACTAAAGGGATACATTGAATTACCCCAAAGTACATCAGTGTAGCAGCAATCAAAGCCTCCCTCTCAAAAAAGCAGACAGTAGGAATGTTTTAACTCCGAAGGCAAACTGTGCTTTCCGCAACACACACCTGCTTAATTGGGATTGTAGTACTAATTTAAAAAAAGAGGGCTTTACAAGTGTTTTCCAGACTAAGTCAGAATTATACTTTTCAGATTTAATGTTCTTTAAATACAGTTCTCTTACCAAATTGTGTGGATTGTCGACTATTTTAAATTTACCTTTCTGGCTTAGATGAGGGAGGTGCATGATAAGGAAGTCATGTCATAGCGAATTGGAAGCAACGAGCGCAAATGCAAGCAATATATGAAAATATATTCTAATGTTTTCTAATTTAAATGCATTCTAATGCCTTCCAAGTTCTGGAAGGGTTGCCTTTTTATGTTTTGATGCACTGCAAAGTATCAGTGATTTCAGCATTGTTAGGAGTGTCATTTTACACAGAATATTCTTATTTTGACACAATTTCTCAGCCGTTGATTTGACATAATGGTTGTGCCTGTGCAAACCAGTCTCTTCCACTCAGCACTTTCTTCAACAGCCTTGATGGCGACTGGCAGGAAGATACTGTTCTGATTACAAATGCAAGTTTTTCTGTGCACTTTTGTCACATCGGGAGAGATTACATGAGTGGAAAGATACGGGGATCTTGTTCCAAGTTGTCTGATTTGACAGAACTTGATGAAATCCAGTGCTGTAACGCAAATACCACATTACTGCCGTGGGCTGACTTCTGCTTAGTTCCAGTTCTGGGGTGGCAGTGTCGTTTGTTGGGGTGTTTTTGGGAGCTGACTTACTCTCTCACTGATTCCCTTGACCCGTCACCCATTGTGCTCTGCCCTCGCGCCCAGCCCGGGGCTGCCGAGGACGGCGACGCATCGCCACCCGCTTCCCCTCGCAGTCTCCGTTTCCACAAGCGTCATCAGCTGTGCCAACTATATTTATTACGTCTTTTTGTACTGCGGTTGCTATCACCTGGAAAAGTAAAAATAAATAAATTATAATAATTTTTAAAAAATCAGTAAAAATCACTTGGCTGTTTTTCATCCTGCTTCCCCCAGAGATTGCACAGATAGCTGCATTTACATTTTATTATGTAGAAGGTGAGACGTGTTTCTGCTGAAGCCGTTGTGCCTTGTATCAGCCCCTTCATTCGCAGAGGCTACAAGAGAGCCAGGAAATGGTTTTTCTTTTTAAAGTGACTTTTACTGATAACCTCGCATTCCACCATTTGAGCCCGAGGGAGGGTAACGTGGCGGAAACAGCGACGGCTTTTGGCTTTTTGCTGCTGTTTGTAAGCACGTGCTGTTGTTTTACATATGGCTTATATCTTGTTCCGTAATCTTTTTTGTAATTTCTTTGCCTCTCAATCTGCAGCGCTGGGATCAGAAACTCCGCCACCTTGGGAAGGGGAAGGGAGAGCCCGGACACAGCGACTCGGCTCCGAAGCCCGGCAAACCCAGCGGTGCCCGGCAAGCACGTAGTTAGATGCGGGACGCCACGTGTTGACTTGCAGTGGACTATCTACCAAGACTTCATTGTTGGAGCAGCAAAGGAGAAATTGCACTATTGCACGTTATATTCTATTGTTTACTACAAAATAATGTTTTAGCTTATATTAGTTTTTATTCTCCCTCTTGTTTTTTCTGCCTTTTTTTTTTTTTTTTTTTTTTTTGGATGTGTGCAAGCTCTGGAAATATATATTTTTTTCCTGTTACTAAGAACTGTAGAAAACTGCCCTTATGAGATGGGGAGAGATAAGGACAACGCGGAATTTACCATTTTATCTCCTGAATTTTTCTTGGGGGGAAAAT